TTTATTTTACAAAGCCATTAAGCATTTATTAAACGATAGTCCGTATTGATTCGTATTTTATCTATGTGAATGCATTTTATGTAAATAATTAAAAGTTTTATTAAATTTTACAGATTTACTTTTACAAGAAGATTTGTTTTTCTCTTTTTCATTGATAGCTCAGTGGTTTAGTGCGCTGTAAGTTATCATATATATATATATATATATATATATATATATATATATATATATATATATATATATATATATATATATATATATATATATATATATATATATATATATATATATATATATATATATATATATATATATATATATATATATATCACGGCTGTTTCAAACCGAGCTTAACGGCTTCTTGTTAATTTTTGAAAATATTGACTAAAGGGGTGTTACTAAAACTTTTATAACTTTTGAAATATAAGAGGTAATTTTGTTTTGTAAAAACAATTAAGACATCAATAAAATGTTTTACCTTATGACATTTAATGCATTAGTAGAAAAACTTCTTTTAGTTTAGAATAAATATGACATATATTGAATTTGGCTAAATTTTTGTAATTTGATGTTACTTTTTATCAAAAAAAATTAGAAAAATATATACCTAATAGTTATTATCAAATACACTTATTGTTTGACAATAATGAAAACAAAAAAACCTTACTTAATTATTTAAGGTTAACTAAAACAGCCTTAATCGAATTGTGAAAGCAAACCACATTTTTCGCAAAATTATGAAAAACGTCGTTATAAGGGGGGATTAGTTGTTAAATGAGTACTTTTTTTAATATAGAAGTTCTTGATTTAGAAAATTATTTTGGAACGCTGATAAAATCATTACATTACAAAATAAAGTTCTAATAATATGGTGTTAGGTAGTTAATAAATAAAAACTCATCAATTCTAATAAAATAATTCATGACCAAAATTGAGTTAAAGGTTTTGAATTAACCTAGCTTTTGGTAGTAGAATTATTTTATGGTACTTGTATCAATAATCTCTTTTCACAAAAAATTAAGTGTTTAAATATACACAAATAGCTGATTTAAATCTTTTGATAATTCGTTTTTATTTTCATTGAAAACTGTTTTATAATTAGTTGGTCCATTGATAAGTTCTTCAAGCAGTAAACTATCTTTGAACACCCAGTTGATACTAGATTCATACATAATTCATTTAAAACCAGAAGAACATTTGGTCAACTTGGCAATTGTGATAATAAAGTTTACAACTTCTTAATTTATCAAGCTAAATTTTTACACCAACTTGATAAATGAGACTTATATTCCATTCTTTAACCAGAGAGGAGGTATGTAGAGCAGAGGTCCTGCGAAGGTAGAACTAACTTTTGATGATAAAAATTGAACGGAGATCTAATATATATAAAAAATGTCACATATTACATAACAAAGGATAAAGCGTTTTTTGAATTAACTACATAAACATACAAAATCATATCCAACAAACACACCAGTTGCTCTGATCACAAATTAAAATAGTTAGCTATACATTTGATGCTAGACTTTTATTCCATTCTTTAACCTGAGCAAACCCATTGCATAGATATAATAAACTTTTGAAAATAGGAACAGAATGGGCATCTACCTAATATATAAAATCATTGTAATAAAAAATTATTATTATTTTGAACAAACATTACAGGCATTAAAACAGAATAGAATTCTCTTATTTGTAAATTAAGGATCTTATATAATTTATCTTAGATGTAAAAAGTTTAATTTTTTTTTTAACTTTTCAAACATTTAAACTAAATTTGATGACCACAAACAAGACAAAGACCTTGTCTATAAAATGAATTTTCGCCACGCTCTGAACACACAACACACTTTCTCACCTTAGAGGCTTGAAGCTTCCTATCAGCTTTGCTGTGCAATTCAAAGCGTTTTAAAACAAGATGCAGCTTTTGCTCCTGATTTCTAACTGAATGCAACTGCCTTAATTCCTTATTTATGCTATTATGCAAACACTCTCCCTCCTCTTCACTCAGCAACCCAAAAGTTTTATGCAATTTTACAAATAGTGGCACATTGAAAATGAGTTCATGCATTTTTCGCGTGAAACTTTCTTTTGGAAAGCAAGCATGAAACTCAATAGCAAATAAATTTATATATTGATGAAGCTCAAAAATTTCGGCATCAGAAAGAAATTTTCACTTAAAAAGAATAGGTTGCAAGTTATTAAAAACACTAAACACACGTACAAATCTATTTTTAATTGCTTCATCATCAATAACACTACAAAGTTTATAGTGGTTTCTTAATACTATTTTACAATGATTACCTACAAATACATTACCATGGTAAGCTTGTCGCTCAACTTTCATATCTTCAAGGGCCTTATAAAGAGACCTCTCATGAGTCCCCATGCTAATTATAGATACTTTTTCTAGGTCTTCACACTCTATCTGCAATCGAATATACTCAACATCTAAAACTTCGCGCTGTGCGCGTATAAAAGAAATTTTTTCAGAAATATAAAGGTCAAGACATTCTAAATCTTTACCCTGACATGCTAAACACTCATACTTCTCTATATCACACAATACATTCTTTTCCGAACCACCAATAATTTCACAAAATTGATGAAACAATTTTTGGCACGTACCACACTGCACCCAATCAATGTTACAATCATATTTAGTAATTAAACACCTGATACTAGCACACTTTTCTTGCTGTTTACAGTTTTTTTTTTTATTGGAGGAGTTTAGAGATATGCATTCCAATTCAGAAATATTTTTATCAAAAGCTAACCAACGAGTCTGTAGATTTGCAACGTCTACAAATTGATTTCCTAATAAACGTAAAGAGTCTGCTGTTTTAGAACATTCAAAGCTTTTAGCAGCCCACAATTCATTCGTTCTCACATTCTCATTATGCGACAAAGACGAAACAGCTTGACAATCCAAAGTCTTACACTCCTTCAACAATAACTTATAAAGTTTTAACACAACTCCTAACATAATATGCAAAACAGGTGGCACTACATTATCTAAAGTTATTATGGGGAAAATCGCAGGAGCAATAATTGAATTATGAAACTTACCTAGAGCTCTTAGGTTTCCACCTTGTCTATCTTCACACAAGTTCTCATTGTAAGCACTTTCCAAAGATTGTATTGTCCTCCTTAAGATGTTACAATTAGCAGGTGTGTGAGGCATAGAAGCATGGTTTCTTAGAGAATTCAACTTAACTAGGTCTGTAGAACTAGGAAAGCTAGCAGCTGAACCCTGGTGTCCCAGAACATCATCGATAAAATGAAAATCTCCACCTAAGAACAACCTGACTATTTTGCCTTTTAGCTTAAAATCTGACGACTGAATTCTTTTAATTCGTTGGCATAATGCCCGAGAACTAAGGCAATATTCTCACGACAGTCTGAACCCTGATACATACAAAATAAATGAACATCATATACAGACCCTGATGATTTAGAATTGACAACTTCAAAATGGAATTTCATATACTTCCCACCCTTATCCCCAGCAAAAAGGAGCCATACCTCTTCGCAAAAACCGACATCAGAATTGAAGTGGTCACGAACGTGCAGACTATTGAAAACCTCTTCAATATAAGTTATCAAATTCTTGACCATCAATACAGGTACTAAACAAGGTGCTTCATTCGCAGATGGATAAAGCAACATGGACTTTACAGTAACATGTTCTTTACTAACATGCATTGTCCGCATTTCTTGTTCTTGTCTTATCTTGGGCTCAGATGGGAGAATCCTTGCACCAAGATTACACAGAATACGTCTTAGCCTACGGAATTCAGCCGTGGGCATCCTTAATTGGCTCTGCAGCTCTACAGCATCAGAAACACTTAACTGCCTAACTAAACCCAACTTATTTGCAACACAATGAAACATAGACTTTTCACAAGACACAGAATCACAAAACAACATAGACAAATCACTTTCCAAATCTGAACAAGCTAATAATCAAAGGAATATAAAAGCAAGTTTAGATTGTCTAGCTGCAGCATGCCTACCTAACTTAGAATAAGATTTACCATCTCCTAAGGTAATGTAAGTATATTTCTTACCAACTATTGGCTTTTTAACTGATATAGTCTGTGGATTACTTAATTTAAACCCACAGAATAATTCAGAGGAACCAATGTTGTCATAGTCTAAATAAGAATCAACGACAACTAAATCCTTATCACTGCTAGCAAAATATTTGCAAATTTGGCAACTGTTCTTGTTTATATCACTGATTTTTGCATTTTTTTTTTTCAAATTTAAATTTTTTTAGCAATCTTACATTTTTGGCACGAGCAGATGCAAATTTACGGTGTGCTGTTTTTTATTATTTTTTTTTTTTTAAAGTTGGAACTGCTCCTCCTGTTTTAGCCTAATACTCATAGTCTCTAATTGAGAACTTAATGAGTTACAATGTGCGTTGAGAGCCTTGTTTTTAGAATTTAAATATATAACTTCAGTTTCCAACTTTGATACCTGTATTTTTAAATTATCTATTTGCTCCACATTATTTTTTTCTTTAGAAATTAATTGTTCAACTTGACTACTTAGTTCCTTATTCCTATTTAAAATATAAAAATTATCTGCATCTGCTGATTTTTTTTGTTTTTTTGTTTGTGGAGCTGGAGACAGTTGCATTTTAAAAAATGCTTCGTTTTTTGAAGCTTCAAAATACTTTTTAGAATCTTTTTTTCTTTGTTTTATTTTTCGGCACATTTTATTTAACACATCAATATTAGGCATATTAAACTCAATTGGCAAAAGAAAACTTAAAAAAGTAAACAACGCTTTTGGATGAAAAACTGTTAATAAAATTGAAATCACATTGTTAGTGATCTTACTAGTGTCAATTACTCGCTTTACAAAATTAAAGTTATACTCATTTTCCCAACCATCTTCCCAACCGATGTACAGTTTCATAATTTCCCTCTCAGTTGCATACATCGCATAAATAATGATAATGATATTATAATAATAATATAATAAAAGAAATTAAATAAAATAATATTTACAAATAAATACACTAAAAATAAAAGAATTAAGCAACTTATCTGAGATTAGTCGAATATCCACGAGGAAATAATCCACGAAACTTTGCTTTATAATCTTTATTGATATAGTAATAAAATTATAATACAAACAACTTAAATAGAATAATATTGACAAATAGATGCACTAGATAAAATCGGATTAATCAACTTACCTGAAATTAGTCAAATATCCAAGAGAAATTAATCCGCGAAACTTTGTTATTTATTCTATAAAATGTGTCTCGTTTGTTTTGTTTGTTTTCTTAAAATGCATCCGATAATCGTTGGGGACGTAACGATCAGAGTTTGCGTCACCGCTTCAAAATGTAAACAAGAATTTATGCAAAAAAAACTAAAAAAAATGTCGCTAAACATGCCAAGTTTGAAAACATATTTGATAACATAGCTAGAGGTACAGAAAATAATTTTTTGATTTTCTTATTCATATAAGGTTGAAGTATTACTAAATCCACAGACTTTTCAAAAATGTTATGTTTTTTATTCAAAACGAATAAAAACAAAAATATAAATGCATTAAAAACTAACTTTCTATATAAAAACTTGCAAAGTCTGTGGAAATCTAGATAGAACAGATATTCATTAATAACTGTTCTAAATTTCAACCATCGACCATGTAGCTATGTTATCAAATCTTAGTTGGCCTAAGACAGGTTTTGCGTAAAAATCGCAAAAATCAGAAAAGTGATGCCAAATTATTAACAATATTTTTACAGCTTTCATTTTTATTCCGTTTAATGTAAATGTTTATTTAACAAGGAAAGATAGATCTTTTATATTTTTTTTATTTGAAGATGAAAGCATTTATAGAAAAAAAATACTATTATTTTAAAGTTAATGAATTTTTATACTTTTTATGCGGAAATACTTTTTTTTTTGATAATCTCGTGACGTCAGGCTCGCTTTTATATTGAGTGAAACAGCCGTGATATATATATATATATATATATATATATATATATATATATATATATATATATATATATATATATATATATATATATATATATATATAAGTATGATACCTCTATGGTGTTTGATTTCTTTGATATGTTGTATTGTACTTGGTTTCTTTGCTATGTTGTATACTCCACGTCTAGTGTAGAGCAAAACAGCAAAAAAACTAAGTAAAGATTGATAGCCCAGTGGGTAAACGACGGAAAAAAGACGTCTTATGTACGTTCAGTTCACGTCCGCTCGATTTATTCACAATATGAACTATAATAAGACGTCTTATGAACGTCTTTTTCTCGTCCGTTCCGAAAATAAGAAAATTTATCACTTTCAGTTTTGAAAAACCTTTTTATTATGTCTAATGACGCGAAATGTCATTATTAAAATTATTAAAAGGTGTTTTAATAATGGCGCCATTATTAAAAGGTGTTTTAATAATGGCGATTCTCGTATGAAGAGGTCACAATTACTTTTTAGATAATTGTTAGATAACATATGTGTTTTATGTTTATATATGTATATAGATAAATAAAATATACAAAGATTGTTTATATAGTAAAGAAAAACTATATATAACTTTATATGACATATATATGTCGCAACATGTTTTTTTTTACTTTATATGTCTTTAAATTTCTTTATTTTTATATACTTTATATTTTTTATGTCATATTAGATATATATAAAAATAATGAAATTTAGATTAACTAATTTTTTTATTATATTACTCTATGAGTATAAAATCCTATTTTATTTACTGTCATTTATATTTTAAGTATTATAGTTTTTTTTTTAAACGTAATACTTAAAATATAAATGTCAGGAAATAAAATTATAAAATTAAGATTTTATACTCATACAGTAATAATATAATAAAAATCAGTCAATAAGTCTAAATTTTCATTATTTTTATATATATGTAATTTTATTTTCTTTGAAGTTAACAGTCAATAACCTAATCCCTGTTACTATATTATAGACGCATGTAACTTTACTATATATCATAATATGATATATATGACAATATGATATATATGATATATATGAATCGATTCATAAATAATATAGTAACATACATATATAATATAGTAACAAGATATAACTGAAAAAAATTATATGTGTATTACTAATAATAATCGAAAGTACTTTGAGTTATCTGAGGTTTGAGATATTCGGAGTTTACTGTATTCTTATGATTATTATTTTTACATCCCATCTACATAGAATTTTGGGTTTTATGCTGAAAGTTGCACTTTTTTATATATATATTTTAAATTTTAATTTATCATACTTTTGCAACATTGAATAAAAATACGTATGATAGAGCTTTATTAATATATCAATGATTTAACATTTAGTGCACAAACAAATTAAATAATACATTTATTAATGTTAGAATATGATTGTTTTACATTTTAATGGTGAAAAAATCAAAATTTTACATGATATTTTTAGTAGAAAATTTTATAAGGATTTCTTGAAAAAAATAATGACAAAATTGATAGTTTTTCGTAACATCAAATGTTAGAACTTTTCCAATTCTTATCAAAATGTATACAATTTGGTATAAAAACAAAGATATGATAAAGAAAAGGCACCTTCAACACCCAGTAATATGTTACGAATGTATATTTGTTAATGAAAGTTTTGTGTTTTTTATTGAAATTTTATATTTTTATTTGCAATTTTTTATATTCTAACAGACGATCATTAAATATGATAGATAAACAAGTAGAAAAGAATATAGTAATACATAATACTCTCCTGATATGTAATACTCTCCTTAAACGTAAATCAAATTGTTTAAACCGGATATGATGATTAAATTTTGTATCGGCATGGTTTTATCTGTCTACTTTGCTTTTCAATTTTGTTGCCAGCTTCAACCTAATTCTTGATTTAGAACTATGATTTTGAACTAAAACGTTTCCGTGTTGAATAAAATACTATTTATTCTTAACTGTATTTTTTTTGAGGCTTCAGTTATCAAATGTTGGTGGTAATTTTAGTTTTGCCACTGTGAAAGCGTCGATTGTTAAGTATGTGTTTACTTTTTGTATTTTGTTTTGCTATGCAAATAATTTTTAATAATAACTACTTAATTATTAACTAATAAGTTTTGTTTTGTTAAATTATTTATTATGGTTATTGTTTATCTGTATACATTACACTATAGAGTATATGTAAATGCATGTGCAATAGCATAGGTTGTATTTTGTATGTATTCACATAAGACATTTTCAAGCACATTGTCCAATCTAAAAACTTAATTATTTTTATCCTTATGTCGGTTTGTAACTTTATTAGTATTTTAGCTTTCAAAAGTTTTGACCATATAAAGATTAGTTTCCCTCCTTAAATGAGGAGGTTGCAAATTCTACATCATCATAACTTTTGAATGCTAATATGAACTCATTTCCCTCATATTCAGATATAGGAGAGCAAAACTTTTTGGGTATTTTAGTTTTCAAGCACCGATGTATTATTTATAACAAATAATAGATTATAATTTATTTTTTTCACTGTCATTCCAGGTAGACATAAAAAGTTTGAAGTATGCACAAAGCCTGAAAGTGTCAAATATGGAACCTAAAAAAACCTGCCTTTGCCACTGACTGACTAAAGGTTTTTTAAGGAAAGAGCTTAAATAAATTAACAGAAAAAAAATATTATAAGTTATACATTTTTATACTAAAATAGAATAAAAATATATATTTGTAGTTTTTATTGTCACAAATATTAAATATTTGTGACACAAAATATAGATATTGATGTCTGCCTTCTTTAATGTCATTAATGCTTTATCTACTGTTTTCTTTTTGTGCATGACCTAATTTCTTTTCATATCCATATTTTTTTAGGTCTGTTTGTCAAGCGTCAAGTCAGGTTATTTTGCTATTGGTTCCATGTAATACATCCTGCTTAAGCAGGTTGTACGCCATCCATACGACGTTTGGGCATCTGTTTGTAAAATATTGCTGCAAATCTTTTTGAGAGAGCCATTACTATGGATAACCATCTAAACCATACAAGTGTGGAAACATAGATGTAAATCTTAAACACGCTTGTGATATATAATTGTAGAATGTTATATGTTATAAGTTTGGAAGTTATATTCTGCTAAAAAAACTTTTTAAATGTATTTTAGCAGAACATACCTGGCGCGCATTTGATCCTGAGAAACATTCTTTTTGGACCAAATGCTGGCTGGGTAATTTGGACTTTTAAATGAACTTATATTCATAATTTTTAAACTGCTTATGATCTGATCTGATTTTATTTTTGTCATTTGTTTATTTAGATTAATGTGAAATAAACTGATAAGTTTATTTAACTTAGCTGGTAAAAAAAAGAGTTTTTGTGAAACAAATTTAATGAAGACAATTATAGGTAAACCTGTTAATGTAATATATTTTGTTTTGTATTTTGTATGCTTAGTTTTGACGAATTTTTAAATACTGCAAACTCACACTAGCTCAAAAATCAACTGTGAACTCATTTAATCAGTTGCAAAAATTGACTTTGAAAATTTTGTATAAGATATTATAGCTTATTTATTAGACTGTGTTTTTAGAATGAAGTTCATTCATTGCTGGCAACATTTTTAACCGTGGTCCACATCGAAAAAATTTGGTGCTAGAAATTGTCGATAGTGGAAGTGATATATGCATCGAACCTAATTTGTAATTAATTTCTGTAAATAAATTTCTGTAAAAAAAACTTTACTAATTTTTGTGTTGAATTCTTGTTTTTCTAATGGTATTTGAAATTAATAAGTCTAAAAATTAACGTATAAAAAAATACGCACCAAATAAGACCTCGTCAATACTTATATATTCATTTGGGTTACGAGTTATTATAAAATTTTCATTTAATTTGTCAATAAAAGGCCCGATTTCATAGTTAATCTATGTATTTAGTAGAAATAGAAGATTTTGTATCTAAATAATGATATATTTAACAAGAATTGTGAAGTATATTTTGACAATTATTTTTCGTCTTTATTACTTGCGGATTACTTGTTATTGCAAAAAAAGTTATGTTGTTGAGCAACAAGAAATAATAGGAGATATTTACTAAATGGCTCGTTGAGTGACAAATATCTTTCAAGAGAGGAGCATGATTATCACGTTTCTAATTTTGATATTGTATTTAAAGAAATGGAATATAAGAGTGTTAATTTAATTTTGAATTACCATGGAACTGAAGAAGATCAAAAATACGGAAATAGAAAGATGGTTTTTTAAACATGTTCTGATGTCCAAAAGCCATAAATAATAACAATAAAAACATGGGATAATTTTGCAAAAATAATTTTTATTGTTCCATTTATGGCATAAATAGTAAAAATATTAAGTTATGGTGTAGGTTATATTTTGGGCGCGCAATAACTATTGCCTATATTACGTAATGTTAAATAACAAATTTAAAAATTACAAGCTTGTTCTTTCGTCACAATGCTACATTAGTGCTTTTAACTCTTGGTCGTCGTACTAAAATTAATCGGCCACTAAGTGTACCTGAATCTTTTTGAAAAAGAAGAAAATTAATCTGTTCCAAACTGTGTACAATTAGTGAGCAGATGTATTCATTGGCTATATTTGAAGATAAAAGGGCGCAGTGTGAAGTTTGTTTCAAAAAATAGCAGCAATCAATATCTTATAGCTATTGTGAAACATGCAAAATGCATTCCTCTGCATTTAAAATGGAAAAAATTATTTCTTGGATATCCCAACCTTTATTATCAATTCATTAAATTCTTTTATTTTTTATTTTTAAAAGTGGCTTGTTAGTTGCTGTATAAATTATACATCAACTTTCTTTATTATACAGTATAATAAAGAAAGTTTTCTTGAATCCATAAACATATTAGGATGCTTCAAAGACAAGTTTTACCGCTCGTACAACACACTGGAAATGAGATGGAATGTCGGGGATTTCATGTTTAACATTATTGACAATCATATATTTGATTTCCTCAATTAAAAAATGTCATGTTGTAGGGGTCCGCAACCTAAGTAATGCTAATGTCAACCAACTCATACCAACGATTAGCATTAAAATCAATTTCCGGAAATTTCTTTAAATTTACTTCCGAACTTTTGTTGTTTACTCAATAAATCTAAACAAAGCCAATTAACAAATTTTGTGTTTTTTTTTTTTTTAAAAACATTATTTTAGTTAACTATAAAAAAATACCTTTGCCGTAGAGCCAGTAGGATTTGAAAACCAAAGTCTCGTATCTTGCTGTCATTATTTTTTAGCTTGACATAAAGTAAATTTTTAGGTTTCAGGCACAATGCATTGTTTTTAATGTTTTTTTTTTTAACAATATGTTTAACGTCATCAAAGGGAGATTATTTATTATAGTAATAGTAAATAAAATAAGGCGCGGGGATCCTCGAGATTTTTTTATTTCGAACCACGCTGGAGCGTAAGTCTGAACAATAAACATACGAGTTTTTTTAAATAAACGTCTTTTTGTCTCTAGTATACTAACAAAGAAGGCAAAAAGCTAGAGTTAATCACCTTGCATGGTTAAGCAGTCCATTTTTATAGGCGGTCCATTTATCACAAACTTTACTTTCCTTTGCAATATTCAAATAAAATCTTTGATCGCAATTAAGTTTTATTAGTATTTCTTCTGGAATATATATCCATCTACAATTGGGTTTTCAATAAGTTCAAACAAAACTTGATTTCTATCCTGAATATTTTTAGCACATCTTAGTGGTGCCAAGTACACCACTAAAGCTTCTTCGCCCAGTTGTGTCACCATCAAGTTTCACAAAAGGAGCTCCTAATGGAAGTTCATTTTGATGTAAGGCACATCCAATTAAGTATAGTGTTCTTTTTAAAAACTCTTTTAGTTTTACCACTAAGCCACATATTGGTACAGTATTGGTAGCAGTATTATCAAGAAGCACAGCTTGTATACTTTCCCAACTGTTGTGTTCTTGTAAAACACTAAACGTTTTGGTGGCCAGAACTAAGCCTGTCAGGGTTTGGGTTAGGGTTAGCACCAGTGACAGGAATCATCCTATGACTCAAATAATTTCAACTCGATTTTCCATCTTCATAAGTAAATTTGAGGTGATGTCAGATTCAATGCGTTTTATAAGTACTTCTCCTTGAAGTGAGTTTATTATTTTACTTGTTTTAGTAATCTGATCGAGCTTGCTATCAACCTAAAGACAAACTGAGTGTTTTTTTTGTTCTGAGTTCACATCTTCACTAACAATTTTTACTTTTGACTCAATCTTAACTAATTTGTATTTGTCAGTCAAAATATCTTTTATATCAACATCATTTTTCAAGCACTGTTTAACGTGTTTTTCATGTAGTAAAGCGTTTGCTAGGGCTGCACCTAGGTTTGACGAACTCTCGTTTCTGACTAATTCCAAGTTTGCATCAAGATCTTTTAGCGCTTGCTTTTCCGTGCTTTATTTAATATTTTTAACAATTACAAGAAGATATTCAACTTTCCTAATAATAGTTTCGTCAGTTAGAAGAGGTAAACTTGGTTTTACTGTAGCCCAAATTGATTATATATTATTGCTAGTTTGCTGAGACATTAATACGACATCTGCATTTAGATTGATGTGAATAAGATAGTAACAGTTCTGAAAACCTGTCACATAAGCCACCTCAAAAAAACTTTTTTTACTTTTCATCCGTTTAATCGGGGCATTAACTTTCGGCATTTTCATAGACTATTTATACATGTGTGTGTGTGTGTTTGTGTAAGTGTGTGTGTGTGTGTGTGTGTGTGTGTGTGTGTGTGTGTGTGTGTATATATATTACAGCATATATTAATCATTTCACAGGCAGAGCTTTGTTCATGCTTATATAATTCATTAGCGCATTTGCTTAGACTTTAAATATTAGTTTGAGAAATGCTCATAAAACTTAATCGTTTTTTAAAAAGTTCCTGTTCTTTTTTTTTCTGTTTTTTTTCTTTTTGCTTTATTTCTTTCATTTATTATTTTTGTTCTATGGTTTGATAATTCATTCTCGGTACCTTTTCCAAAAAACTTGTGTAATAATTCTCTTTCTATAAACACATATTAAAGTTAATAAATGTTTATCAGACTAAATAAGTTAATAAGTTTTAACATAATTTATCTTTAATACTATTTATTAATTTTTTAAATTCTTACTCGGCCAGTCAGTTGACTTTATCATTGATAAAATATTTAAACTCTTTTAATAATAACTTTGTTGTTGTATAATTCCATGTTAAACGTTCAACTAAATAATGAAACGTAGATTGAATGATTGAAGAGTAATAAAATGCTTAAATTGAATATCATATTGATAATATGAGTTGGATATTTAGAGAATAATTGAATAAATAGAGAAAATAGTTTTTGATTGCACAATATTATGGCTAAAGCATCTGTGCTTGATTTTAAAATCATTATTAACAACAATTTATAAAACAAATAGTCAAGACAAAAGAAAAAATAAATAACGATGTGTTGCCAAAATTCAAAATCAAAATAATTTACTTATGTTTAATGAAACCGGTGGCTCATTAAACGTAAGTTCAATAAATAAAATATATTTAGTAAACTAAAATTAATATTATTTTTATAAGGGTTTATTATGGTTTAATGGTTTATTATGGTTTATTATATATATAAGGGTTTATTATGGTTTTGGTATTAGCATTCAGAATATCTAAGTATTTCAAGTTTGTAATTAAAAATTCAAAGCCACATTACAAAAACAAGTTTAAAAAAATGGATGTTACGCTATTTTTTAAACAGTAAAGCAATATTTGGTTCTATATTCTGAATATAACAATATCGTAATAGTTTTGGACAAACCTTGATTTTTCGCTTGCGTAGAACTTTCCAAGTTTTCGTTTTCTTTTAAAATTTAAAAAAAAACGAAATTTTAAAAATTGTTATCATAGCAAACAAGTTTAGAGTAAAACATATTTTAAGAAGTCAATTGAGGTGGTACTTGTGTATTCAAGAAGAATAAAAATAAAAAATTTATGCATTTTATAAAGAAAAGGTTGAAGAATGTTTCTATTAAAGTTCTCATACAATCTTAATAACGGAATATTAGGAAAAACTGTATTATTAAATTTGGTTAAGCCATTTTCATGTTTTAAACAATAGCTTTTTAAACAAATTTCAAAAGTATGTTATTGTTTTGGTACTCAAATGGAGAGAATAATTTAATTTTTTTGTTTTCGTTTTTTTTTTTTAATATAATGGAAAAAGTCCTAATAAATTTTTGAAGTTTTTCATAATTACTAGAAAGTTACAATCTGAAAATTTTGATCATAATGCAATTTTTTTTTAATTGTGATTCCGTATAGTTTTTGAA